ATAGCAATAATAGTTGATTTTTGAGCCGTTTTCTATTCTGTTAGACAGGAGGTGTCTCCTGAACTTTAAGAGTGGGTTAGATATTGCGAACAAATAACCTGGTAACGGCAAATAGTACCATGCCACGTAAGAGCATGACCACGCATGACCTCTTATTTACTAAAGTTTCGTTAAAAAATGGCATGACACAGCCAAGCTAAACGTGTTGAGAGGGCGAAAACCAGAGAGAGCTTTGATGTGCCCCGCCCCTCAATCATGTGATTAATCTGATTACCATAAACCCAGATTGACACTCGCTGTTGGGGTCAAGGGGACATGCGCTTCAACGTTCGATATAACGAGCGTAAGTTCTGACCATCATCATCAGTTTTAGTTTCAATAGTTATAAAATTAAGCTCCAATGCTAACCATCAGTAGTATAACAATTAGTGGCAGAAGTAGTAGCACGGCATTTAACATTGGACTGCTTTGATTACAACCTACCACACATAGCATGTTCGATCAAGTTACTATTGCACCGTCTACATTATGTTGGGTGTAGCTTCTATATGGCTACCGTAAGAGCTCGTTTAATGGGTAAATTTCCATCCGGCATTGAGCTCGTTATGTGAAACATAAAATGCCCAATCAAATGATTATTGCGCCATCTAAATTCGCATTGGTCGTTTCCGGTGAACCAAATTATGCGAAAAATAGCAGCCTACCTCATGTGTTGTTCATCTACAACTATAATAACGCATCAAGTCAAAATGGCAAATGACAATATGTTGCGACCTAAAGGCTTGGTAGAAATTGAGCAATTATTAATTACCTCGTATTTAACCTTCAGCTACAAACTAACCAGACATAGGTTTCGCCACGCATTTTAGATTTAAACATCATACATGATTGCAAATACGGCATTGTTGTATACTATTTGCTGGCCATACCAAGCATGCTTGTCAGAAGTTTCTCTCCTAGCATTGGCATTTTAAAATATATCAGCGGTATCTGGGCCCTGGTAGACCATAAACAGTTGCAACGATGTGCCCAATTAATATTCATTTCTGAGGCTCAATTCGATCAATGTTAGTCGCCGGTTGGTAGTAGAGAGGCCTCCGTGTCGTCTTACGCTTATACCGGAGGGTCAGATGGCAGGGAAATCATCACGCTCGAGTCGATCACGCGTGGTGCTAGTTTAGAAAGTCAAAGCCCACATCATGCCAACAAGTTACCAGCACACAGCTGTGTACGTTCGCTGTGATGACTATGTCTTATAAATACTGTAAATACATGCGCATATGTTATCCCCTTCTGTCTCTGTCGAAGAATCCACGACGGATGAGGTAAATTTGGGCGAATGAGTGTGATCTAGCAGCGATCGAAACGGCTGCTCCTTTATTGCTTCCTTGGACCAGCATGTTCGTTTATATTGACTAGTTAATGGTCCTAGCAGGTACGATTTTTATAATTCGCCCCTCTGATATGGAAAATGTTAGCAGCAATCTATTAGCCCTGGTTGTCTGCAATTAGGAAAGGGTGACACAGATTTGGTGTATAGAGGGAGAGTCCAAGTCGCAAACATCTAATTTGTTCGGAATAGCCTAAATCTAGGTCCCCAGCCCTAGTTGAGATCAAGGAAACACGAGACCAGGGCTGCCTCCTGCCAGCGTCATTTCTGACCAATTAATGGCGTCAGTAATAGTACCAGCACTACCTTCACTTATCTACGCTGCTCTTAAGTAGCAGTATAAACAGTGGTGAGACGCATTCGAATTCAGCTTGATTCAGTTAGACAGAAAACATCTAAGAGCCAACTGCAAACTCTCCTGCCTGACGACCCCGTCATGATATATTAATCAGTGCCACGTCCCATACACTGACGCATAACCACAAGTCGCGACGCATTTATGCATACATCTAGTTGATAATGTCTTCCTACTTAAAATATGTGAGTAGAACTTATATATTGTTCGTGAGGAATGCGCGAAATGCCTGGCATGGAAAATGACGAATAGCCCCTCCATCGCCTCGGTGGTTAACCCTACGTATCTCAATTGCGGAATAACAACGCACAGGTGGAATGAATAAGCCCATTAGGCACAAGTCAGTGAAACGAATGCTGACCCACACTGCGTAAAACCAGGGGGATACCAAAAAAAGCCCAAAGAAT